TGTGACTTGAGACTTGACTACATTGGATCGAGACTCGACATTGGGATTCAGACATTGGACGGGGATTATTTGGGACCTGTATCACAAACTTGGTGTTGACGACATTCCCACCTTTCTCTCTTCTTCGTCTAACCCCCCTCCTCTTCGTCTGTGTATGGCGGGGACTGGCGCATTCTTCCTGTGTGAGCGCCAGGCCCCTTCACACCATGGAACAATGATGATGTATGTTGGGGCTGCATTGCAATATTGATTGTTCGGATCATTGGTATCTGAGTCTTCCACTATGCTATCTTGTACTTTGTCTGAGGGGTCGGTTCTTGTTCTGGTCTGCACCTTTTTAGTATGCAACACTATGTCTAGATAGTGCACTATCACGCTGAAGTAATCAGCTCCTCCTCGGAGCATTGGCTACCACGTTATACTTCCCTTTCACGGGCTTTAACTCAAAGTCAAATTGGTCTATCTCAGCAGCCCATCTAGTCAACTTGGGCGTCATCTTGGCATGTGTCTTTAGCCATCTAAGAGTCTCGTGATCGGAATATACCTTGAAGTGCCTCCCAAGCAGGTAGTGTTTCCAGTGGTCTAAGGCTTGCCTGAGAGCGTAGAGTTCCCTCTCGTATGTCGATGCTGCTACCTTTTCTGAGGGCAACCTGGCTGACATGAACTCTACGGGTCTATAATCGTTGTCGTCATCTTGCTGCAAAACGACACCTATGCCATACCGACTAACGTTGGTCGTGACTACAAATGGTAGTGACGGATCAGCAACTTTGAGGACTGGGTACTCTATTAAGGCCGCCTTTAATTTCTTGAAGGCTGACGTGCAGTCCTGGTCCCACTTCCAGATTGTCTCTTTCTTCAGTAACCTACGAAGGGGAGCAGCGATTGTGGAGAAGTTCCTCACGAACTTCCTATAACAGTTAGCCAATCCTAGGAACGAACGTAAATCTGTCAGTGTCTTAGGAGTTGACCAGTCTCTAATTGATGCAATCTTACTGTCCTTGGGCCGAATACCGTCTCCGTCTAGTACGTGGCCTAAGTAAAGGACCTTTGTCTTGGCCCACTCGCACTTGTTCGGGTTAATCTTAAAGTTAGACTCTCTCAACTTTCCTAAAATCTGCCGCAGATGGCCCTCATGCTCCTCGAGGGTCTTGCTGAACACTAGGATATCGTCTAAGTGGACTACGACGAACCTATCTAACCACAGCCTGAACAAGTCGTTCATGCAGCGCTGAAATGTGGCCGGTGCATTGGTTAGTCAAAACGGCATCACTATGAACTCGTACTGCCCATACCTTGTCCTGAA